TGTTGTGAATTGGGCAGCTGAGTTATTTAGAGACACTGATCAGATGTAGAATATTTTTAAAGATAAATTTTTAAATATCAAGGTAAATATACTCCTTATAAAAAAAAGGGATAGCTGTAAGTAAAAACCAGGCTGGCTCACAAAGAGCTTAAGAAATAATATTAAAGAAAAGCATAATAAATTTAAGAAATTTAAATTGACTGGTCAGACGGGAGACTTAGAAGATTACAGAAGACCAAGAAAGTTGGTGAAACAGGAAATTAGGACATCAAAAAGGATTGGCTGAAAATGTAAAAATTAACAGTAAGGGTTTCTTTAAATACATTAAGGGTAAACAAAATGTTAAGATGGGGGGTAGTACCCTTGAGGGCTGATAAAGAAAGGCTATGTTCTGATGATTATGAGATGGCTGGGTTATTAAATTTTGCTTTTTCTTCGGTTTTTTACTAACGAAGATTTAAGCAGTATTCCACATCTTGAACAATTGATAAATGGAAACGAGATCAAACAAGATAATTGCATTAATTCTGTGCTGATTAAGAAAAAATGGGAAGTTTAAAAAACGATAAGGCTCCTGGGACAGATACTATTTTTCCCAAGGGTTTTGAAGGAAGTTAAAAACTGGATATGTGAGCCACTTTCTACTATTTTTTGTCAGTCCTTGAATAGGATTGGAAGTTAGCTAATGTAACTCCTCTTTTCAAGGGATGTGATAAAAATTGTCCCAGTAATTATAGACTCATTAGTCTTACATTTCCCAAATTTTTTCCCACAACTGATGGAAGTCTGTTAAAAGATGCTTTGCAAAGTCATTTAACAAAGCTTAGAATTTGATTGGATAGTAAACATGGTTTCACTAAGGGAAAATCTTGCCTTACAAGAGAAAAATCAAACCAATAAAAATACTTTGAATATGATTAAAATCAAAATATATAAATAACGATTACTTGCATAGCTTTGTATGTACTAATTAAAAAAAACTGGTATTATAAAATTTATTTCTACTCACCTCTAACAAACAATATTACTATCAGCATAATTAAGTATACGATAGATATCCACCAAAGTGACCCAACGCAGAAATCCACAAA